ACACCATAGAGGGTGTGAGTGTGTTTAGGATCGATAGTCGTACTATAAAGATGAGAATTCTTTGGCTAAGCGATTTATCAAGTGCCACTAGGTGACATGATTCTTACATATGCATTAGGGACCTAGTGCGCTAACAATTAACCCTTGAAAAATGCTTGAAAAAATGCTAACACATGAGCACACAAGTTACACACTTTGTGGTTAGCAACTTGGAAGCAAGGGTGAAGTGTTTAAGGAGTTAGAAAATAAAAAGGAGGCAAAGGGTGCTGACTGGACGCAGGGGACCTACGCGTCCGGTGCTAAACCCTAGCTGTCGGGTTGCTACGGTACGTTGATCGGACGCTGCACCGGACGCAAGCCTGGCATCCGATCAGTGTTTCTAGAGAAGGTGCAAGGCTGCGATGCGACCGGACTCAGGAGGTGGCGCAGACCGGACGCGCAGGGGGTGCGTTAGGTTAGCGCTGACGTACGCTGGTGTCATCCCCTGTGCATAGCCATGTGAGGACCAGACTCGGTGGTGCGTCCGGTCAGCTAGGACCTGACGCGTCTGATCTCGAAAACCACACTCTAGGAGCTCTCTGTTGTTGACCGGACGTTGAGGTGCACTGTGTCTGATCATTTGTAGAGGCCTATCCAGTGAGTGGTTGACTAGCGTGCGCATTGGCGCCTAACGGCTATATTTGAATCGCATGATGTGGCGGACGCTGGTTGGCTCCGAGGAGCGACCGGACTCAGCGACCGGACACAGGGGCAGTGTCCGGTCAGTGCGTCTAGTGCCCCTTCAACAGCCCAATGGCTCTTTGAGCTTTGGGACTCTATAAATAGGTGGTGGCTGGCTTTGGGCTCTCTCACTTAGCACTTTGACATACTTGACATCCTTGTGAGACTAGGAAAACACCTCCCACTCATCTCCTTCATTGATTCATACACATAGTGAGATTGGGAGTGATTCCTAATGTATTTGCTTGAGTAATTACATCTAGTGGCACTTGGGGATCGTTGTGGCTATGGATTTCTTGTTACTCTTGGTGGTTGCCGCCACCTAGATGGCTTGGAGTAGAGAAGGAGCTTCGACATGTGTTGGTGATTGTTTGTGGCTAGCTCCAGTGATTGTGAGGGGTCTTGTACCTTCCCCAGCGGAGAGCCAAAAGGTAACTCTAGTGGATTGCTCGTGTCATTGAGTTACCTCACTTGTGGGTAGGTTCTTGCGGTGCCATTTGTTGGCTAGGTGTGTGATATCTATTAGCTGCTGAACCACCAAGTGTTGGTCGACACAACAGGGACTAGCGTCTCAACAAGCACATGAACCTCGGAAGAAAAATCATGTGTCATCTTGTGATTGGATTTCTCCCAGTGACTGATTGGTATTCATATTGTGATTGGTTCATTCCTCGATACGGTGGTATAATCACCCTACTCACTCCCTTACATTCTTGCAAACTAGTTGTGTAGCAAGCTCTTTGGTGTAGCTAGTTTTGAGAGCTTGCTTGCTAGTTTAGTTTCACCTAGTGGAGCTCTTTAGTGTAGCCTTGTTGAGAGCTCTTAGTGAGTAGGAACTTAGCCTCTTGAGTGCTTAGTGATCATAGAAACTAGAATTGTTGGATATGTGGCTTGTAACCTTTGTAGAACTAGAGCAAAATTACATTACGCCATTTAGTGTACTAACCACTTGCTCTAGTGTATTTGTAGAAAATTTTTGTAGGCTATTCACCCCCCCTCTAGCCATTTAGGACCTTTTAGCGGTGTCATTCATGCCGAATTTGATGGTGAAGCCACTCAGTGATATGTTGGCAAAGTCTTAGTTGATGACGACGAAGTAGGTGGGAAAGCCCATCGCCGATATGTTGGCGAACGTGTTGTCCATCATTCCGTAGTCGTTGGTGAAGCCCTCGCCAAAATGTTGACAAAAGCGTAGTCGATGAAATCGAAATTGGTGGCGAAGCTCCTTGCCGAAACATTGGCGAAGGCGGTGTCAAGTCGATGGTGCAGTGGATTCCCTCACCAAAATGTTAGTGAAGGCAATGCCGATGTCGCCAAAGTTGTATGGTGAAATTAAAACAATAAACAAAATTTGTAAAACATAGATTCACATTTTGCTTTGGTTGCCCATTTTTTAGCGGGCAACACTAAGTCTCTGAGCTCATCATTGTGCTTTGGTTGCACGTATTTTTAGCAATGTGAAGTCACTGAGCTCTTTTCATATTATTGTGCTTTGCTTGTATGTATTTTTGGCAACACGAAGTCACTGAACTCTTTTTGTATCATTTTGCTTTGGTTGCGTGTATTTTTGGCAATGTGAAGTCACTGAGTTTTTATCATTTCACTATGCTTCGGTTGCTCGTATTTTTGGCAACACGAAGTCACTAAACTCTTTGTCATTTCATTGTGCTTTAGTTGCTCATATTTTTGGCAACAAAAATCACTTAGCTCTTTATCATTTCACTATGCTTTTGTTGCTCGTATTTTTGGCAACACGAAGTCACTGAGCTCTTTATCATTTCACTATGCTTCAGTTGCTCGTGTTTTTGGCAACACAAAGTCACTGAGTTCTTTATCATTTCACTGTGTCTCGGTTGCCCGTATTTTTTAGCAACACGAAGTCACTGAGCTCTTTCATTTCATTTGTATATTAAGAGATCAAAATGGATGCAGGTGGTGTTTTACGGCCATTGACTAGTTTTGATCTCATCAATTATATTTTGCCAATATTAGGAAGCCTTACGATGCTAAGGCATCCTTTTCGGCTCATGCAAAGTGCTCATGCGATGAATGGATATGTTATGGATGAATGTGATGATTCATATGATGGATGCACTTAGGTGAAAAAGAAATGTGAAGTGGTATATATATATATATATAACTACTACCCTGTAGCTGGCTACAAAATAACTTATTTTGTAGCTGAGTTACGATAATTACTATGTTAATTTATGAGATTATAGTAACTCCTTCCTAAGTGGTTTACTATAACGTTATGGTAAATATTCCTATGTGTTATAGTAACCCAACTATCGTAAATATGTATTGATATTATTATATAATTATCGTAAATGAGGTTAGTATATAAATTTTATAGTGGTAAAAATATATATATATATATATATATATATATATTATATATATATATATATATATATATATATGATAAACAAATCCTGCAGAAAATAGGCCTTGCCTAAAAAGAATTGCTAGCTTTCGCGTTATTTGCGAATATCAGGCTATTCTTTAGCCTTTGGAACATACATATTGCATAGTGCCTAAGATGGTAATTCAGTTATGCAAAAACAAGTACAAGTGCTTCGAGTTTACGAAATGTAAGTCCTCAAGATGGTTACGATAACAACCGCAAGATGAAGGGGTGCATTGGAAACTGACTGAACGAGAAATGTAAAGAGTGCAAAAGTTGAGGTTATCGATACTTGTGCCTACTTCATCCGTCCCAAAATATCTATCGTTTTCGTTTTTTGAGAAATAACTTTGATAAAGTATATATTAAAAATATTAATATTTATGATACATAATTGGTATCGTTGGAAAGTTTTTTGAATCTAGTTTTTTAATAAATTTATTTAGAGATATAAATGTTGTACGTATTTTCTATAAATCGAGTCAAACTTGTGGCACGGAAACCAAAAGCAACATATAATCTGGGACAAAGGGAGTATATTTGTAGTAGGGGGAATGGTGCTTTGTGAATGTTGGTGGTCAATAAAATTGATTGGATGATGAAGGCCAATGGATTCGAATACCAATGCACTAAGTACCAATACATACCGAAAGCCAATGGTCATAGTAATCCCTCTTTTGGATGGAATCCAATGTTTTCAAGACCAATATTTGAAAATCAATGTCTGATAAAACTCAGTATTCGACAAAGGCTAATGACTGAATGAAACACCATACTAGTTGAAAGCCAATATAGCTTGGGTACGATTTTGCATTTGGGAATCAAATTAATGCGCTATATAACTGGGTTAGCTGAGTAGGCACGGGAGGTACTCACAGTGATGGGTTCTGCATGTTAGAGATAGAAAATTTTAAAACAAGAGATGATCATTTCGGGATAGTCATTTGGGCTAAACGTGAAAGCCACTTTGGGTGATCTTATAAAATTCATTTGAGTGCACACAGAATGTAACGTGGAAATAGTTAATAGAAAAATGTCATGTCTAGGTGGATCCAGAAGCTTGTATATGAAATAGTTTAGTATTATTAGGCCTTGTTTAGTTTCTCACCTAAAATTTATTTTCTATCCCATCGAATATTTGAATACATGCATAGAGTATTAAATATAAACTAAAAAATAACTAATTGCATAATTTACGACTAATTTACTAGACGAATCTTTTAAACCTAATTATTCATGAACTAACGTCAAATTAGGTAAAAAGGAGCTATGACCCCGTTTGGATACGGTCTTGCCCACCGCGCTGTGTGATATGAGAGCCGTGGTCAGGGAGCTGCGATACGTAAAATCGAAATCCCCGTTGAAGCTCGCGGTGGCTGAGTCACGGGTGGCTCGTCAACACCGCGAAGCGTTTGGCGCGGTTATACGTGATTCTCGTGGCCAGCCATCGGATTCTAATCGTATTCAAACAAGCCCTATAGGGCCTAATATAGTGAACATTTGCTAGATAGAATGGTGCCTCAATATAATTGATTCCAATTCGAATGATATGGAGATTCCTCCTCTAATTGGAACAAGTTTGCACACAGTTGTTAGATTTTAATATAATGTCTCGAAGAACCTTAAAAGAGAACTGGTTTTGATCCTCTAGCTTTTCGGAGAATCAAAGAAATGGTTCTGATCCTAACCCTGAATCCTAGAAACATTTGTTAGAGACTAGCTATCATGTAATTTTCTGGAACCAATTCCCATTTATTAACTGTGGACAGAAAACAGTCTATTGAATCCCTACCAAATGCGACCTTAAATCAAGAACCAAGCTTGGCACCCCGGTCAGTAATTAAGGCAGGCGGGCATGCTTGGCAAAATTAAATCAGTCAGGCGGAGCAGCGCCACTCTCCTCGCCTACTCCGCTATTCCTGGCCTCGACGTGAGGCACCGACATGCTGGTCGAAGAAGACGCGGTGGTGGACGACATCGATGCCGATGTCAGCATCGGCGGTCGGCCGAACGTTGCAGGCTGCCGTGAGCCCCAGAGGAGTTGCCGCGTCGAGAAGTCCAGAATCTGCACCGACGACGATGCCTGTGCCAACGACGATGGCGCCGGCGCCACGAGATCACCGATGCTGCTGGCCACGACGTTGCCGCTGTGAAGCAGCTGCGCGTACCGCGTCAGGTCCGGGAACAGCACAGGAGAAGGTGGCACTGGCAGTGGCAATAATGGAGAAGCTGATACTGGCGGCGGCGGCTGGGGGATGCCAGGGGAGACGAGGAAGGCGCCCTGGCCGGTGCGTCCCCGGACGCGCTCGGGGAAGTTGAGCTTGGCCTTGGCGCCCCTGAACCGCAGCGCGGCGTCGTCGTAGGCGGCCGCGGCGGCCTCCGCGGTGTCGAAGGTGCCCAGCCAGACGCGCGCCGCTTTGGCCGGGTCGCGGATCTCCGCCGCCCACTTGCCCCATGGCCGCCGCCGGACGCCACGGTAGTGCCGCATCGTCGTCGGGGTACCTGCATATATATGCATCGATATCATATCACCGCCGGACTCAAAAGGAATGGAAACTTGCATTCATATATCTTGTCTTGATGAGTTTGGCAAATCAACCGTACCAACTTATTATCCGAAAGATCAAGCTTGAGCTTTTTTAGGGGACTATGCAATTCCACAAAGCCCCGCTAGCTCCCTAAACCAATCGAGGCACTATTGACTGAGATCTGCCGATCGGCACAATGCAATTTCGGGAGAAATTAGGCGCAAGGTTTTTATTTTCAGAAATTAAAATTTATCGGAGGTCACAGATAAAGAGGATAAACAGGATATATCGAAAATATCAAACCAAATTCAAATAAAATTTAATTTCAATTTAAGTACATTTAAATAAATTTAAATAAAATTTGTAGAAAAAATAGATATTTTTTATCGACGCCTATGGATAAAAAGGATATATCGAAAATATCATGATATTTCGGCCGAAAAAGGAAACCATGACCAGGCGACGACAGGCACCTCTGAGGTGTGGAGTAAGAAACATGCATAGTGATCGATCCTAGTAATCAGGCCTAGCGCCTAGCTAGCTATAACTGATCGATCGATGATATGGTAGTAGCTAGCAGTTGGCAAGGCCTATCCATAGCTTGCAGCAGCATGGGTTGGTTGTTTAGTTGTACCATAGTACAGTGAATGAATTAGTATATGCATGCATGTTTTCATGGATTGGATTAGCGGGGGAGCAGTACCTTCTTGAACCTCCACGGCTTGCCCGGCCGCGGAGGAACCAGCAGCCCCCGCTTCCAGCGGAACCCGCTGATGAGGAGACCCAGTGGCCACCGGCACGGCCGCGGCGGCCATGTCGCCCGGCTGAAGCGATGAGGCGGCGGAGGAGCGTGTGCCCACGTCGTAGTACGCCATGGTGCTGGAGCTGTACACACCTTGCTGTGCGGCCTGCTCGTGGTACCGCGCCGGTGCCGGCGCAGCAGGCGAGTAGTAGTGGTCATCGTGACCACCGCCACGCCTGCCCCCTCCGAGCTCTATCTGCTGCTGCTGCCGCCGCTGGAAGTGGCGCTCTTGACTCGAGCTCGGCGCCGACGACGCCAGCGACTGCGACGCCGAAGATTGATGAGTCGCCTCCTCCTCGCCGCCGTCGGGCTCAGGCAGGGGTCGCTTGCTGCCATGCCTCCGATGATCCACCTTCGATCACGTACGATGCTTTTTTCCCTCGCTCTGATCTTGGTATTGACCACCACCACCACCTTGCGTATTTGACTGACCTAATCGGGAGCGAGGAGAGAGAGACTGATGGCGCCTGTGACTGTGATTACGGTATACTAGAGGTTTGCTTGCCTTGAGGAGGAAGCAAAAAGCATCGATGCGTTGAAAAGGTCTTTCTGCCCCTTCTTATTTTATTTTATTTCAAATAATCAATCAAATCAGACACGTCTACGAACATCTATTTGGTACTGAAGCGGATCTGAAGGGGCAGCGGATCTGAAGCGGGAAGTTCGGATACGAACGCCGAAAACAAAGCTGGTGCGAGCCGCGCTCGAATCCGAGCAGACGGGGCTGGAGGAGCAGCCATGGGCGTCCAGACGGACGCAGGTGTCCGGACATCCGGGGCCAGTGCTGTCCCCGTTCTAAAATATATAGCTCCACTGTTTGTTTGCATGAATTTTAAATTGTGCGTTACTTGGTTTACGGAGAATAAGCAATTAAGCATGCATGCTGCATGCATGCCTCACAAGCTTTGAATTTTGGTCTTCATATATTATGCTAGAGGGTGAACAAAACCCCGTGGTAGTTTCCTCCTTTGCATATATCCATGTGTGTCTGCTTCAATACTTGTTTATTTGAAACTTTACGTTACTCTAGGTCGTGTTGAATTGAAACCCATGTGACCTAACGTTATAGTCTAGGTTTAGACTTGTAACCTCTATTATTCTATTAGCTGCTATATTTTTTATTCACATCTTATATATGTTGAAACTATACGATACGTTTATTGTAGCTTTTATTCAATACTCTTGTTTCTACATTTTATTTAAAAAAGAGAGGATTCTGGGTCCTAGACTACAACTTAAGTTACTACTACGGCGCTAATATTCGTTTCAACCTGCAACACAACAAAATTGTGAGTGTGGTAGTATTTATTAAAAAAACAGAGTTCTTACAGTTGATCAGTGAATATAGACATGTTATGAATAGTAAAAATGTATAAATTGTAAATAATTTGTTACCTTGAAGTGTTACATAACTAAAATAAAATTCTAGTGGTATTGATATGTGATTGATTAAGGGCAATTTTTTGTGATTATTAACTATAGAAACATATAATTATCTTAAATTAAATGCACCAAGAGCCCTCAGACTTATAAGAGTGTGTCACTTGGGTCCATGAACTTTGAAAAAATATTCCTACGTCCCAAAACTGGTATGGACCTACGGTGCACCACTTAACAAGTTTAGGGATGCAGAAATGTATTTTTAAAGTTCGTGGACCTAAGTGACACGCTCTGGCAGGTTTGAGGTCCGCTAGTACATTTAACTCAATTATCTTTTATGTATCCATATGTAATTGTGCATGAGTCACAAGTATATATGTTTACTTTGAATTAGTTTTAGACGATGCTGGCCGCTAGGGATTTTTTTTTGACTTTGCTGGCCGCTAGGGATACGGCGTTGGTCTCGCCATCGCTTGGAGCTGCAGCAAGGTCTGTCTCGGTGGCTTTCGGTGGAAACCAGTAGTGTTATTCGTAGAATGACGTACTCTTTCCATTTCAAATGATAAGACGTTTTAATATTTTTAGTTATATAGTTTTTTCTGCTAAGTACTTAGATGTAGATTATATCTTGATATATAATAAAAACAATATAGAGAGAGAGGAAAGCCAAGACGTCTTAAAATTTAGAATGGAAATAACTCATTCTAATGGCGGGCGTCAGTAGCATAGACGGTATGAAGATTGAAGCGGCTGGAGCTTGCTTCAAGTTTGTCATATACTCTATGTGTCACGTAGAGAAGGGAGGTCTCTCAGAACAGGGAAAGACCAGTCTATGAGACTATGCTTGCACTCCCGACCATATCTCGCAGTTTGATGGTCAAACGGATCACGATGACGTGTTATGCATGGCATTGTCCTAGCTAGCTCGAGTGCAATTGTGTCACGTGCGCACGCGCGGTAATCATATTTATTTATTTATTTATCTCAAAAAGCGAGTCGTCAGATACAGTGATAAGGCCGAGCCCTGGATGATGATGGAGTTCTGGTCAGGATGGCAGCAGCCATCGAGAGGAAAAAAAAACCCGATCTCATCTGATCTGACCAAAGGGGTCTCCGGTCGAAGTTGAACGGGCGGCGCAGCCCATAGCACCAACGCCGTACCTCCATCAGCAGCAGCCAGCAGGGGATGTATATGTGTGTGTGTGTGCAAGGCATGCAGGCTTAGTCAAAGATGGTGTGCCCAGATTCAGCAACGATAATGCACCAGCATGAGCATCCACGGACTTAACAGGACTTTGATCTCCCCTTCCGGATGCAGCATCTGACGGTACGGTAGTCCCTTTCTCTTTTTTCTTTCAACTGCATTGGATGGAGTCAATGGTTACGGTACTAGGCACTGGACGTGACAGCTAGCTCCAAGTTCAACGCCGTACCCTTTGATTTGAAGCCTACTACCAGTAACCTGTCCGTGTCCAGTGTTAGTTTGTTTAGCTGGCCCGTTCGCTTCGCTGAAAAAACAAACCGAAACACTGTTCCAGCTGATTTGTTGTGAGAGAAAAACATTGTCCCGACTGAAAAAACAAGCTGAAAAATACAAACTACCCTCAAATTTGTAGGTCGTTAGATTCGCATCTTGCAGCTACATTGGTATCACTCGCCTAGTGATTTTGCAAAATGGCTCACGAAGTGCTATAAAATCAAACCACAGTCTACACATTCTGGTTATTTTGCCACAAGAAAAGATTGTTGTGCTCCTGTTGTGTGGAGTCAATTTGTATTCCAACCTAGTTACCTAGACCATGGTAATTTCGCAAAAAGACACCCATATAACTAACTAACTTGGACCCAGTGGCGGATGCAGCAGTTGATGAAAAGAAGAAAGAAAGGCGGGGGGGGGTTGCTTCTTCCTCTCCATATGAGTGGACCTGCTTTGGAGGAAGATCCTCTTGTTTCCACGGAATTAAACAACAATCGATGCGTGATGGGTCCTTTTATAAGAAGACCCTCTTGCTTCTATGAAATCAGCCCATAACCACTTTGCGCTTTACTTTCTTATTATATGGAAAACCCCCTCAAGTCACTGTCCTCTACTGTCTCGATCTCTCTACCTATTGTTTGATATTGTGCTGCTCACCGCTCTATCCTCATGAGTCTTTTGATATAACGTTATATATTGTCTCTCACTAGTCTAGTTTAGAATCTTTGGATATATAGGTTACAAGAATATAGATAAATTTGTATTAGGATCCATGGCTAATCAAAATTAATTATCACTACTATCTCTTTTGTTCATTTTGTAATAGAATACCCACTATGGCACTATGTAATCTCGACCTAGTTGGACAAACTTCCAATACTAGTGATATATGGTATTGATCCATATTATTCATGATTTTCCTCCATCATACTAATGCATGTCTTTAATAAGTTTAGTTGGAACCTTACCTTGAGTAATGTTAGACCTTGTTCTAACCCATGTATCATGACTTTGTGAATATAGATTTTAGATTTCCACTTCCAATCTTGTTAGTTGATGCACTTTTTTCTCTCCACATGTTCAGTTAAAACTCTAGTGCTGATTAGAAATCCAAATGCTCATCGCTTTCTAGATACAAATAGACATGGTCTGGATAGTGACGCACATCGTTAATGTGCACCTTGAATTATTTTTTCTATAGCATCAATGGTAGAACTAGGTGGAGCATATTTAGGAGTATTTTGGGATATTTTTTCTTAATGATAGGTGTAGGTAATTTAAATGCGTATTTAGATGTTACTTTACATTATTCTAATAATAATTGTGGTAAGTTATTTGTATGTAACTTTAGGTACTTTAGATTATTGTTCATAATGGCATAAGTAAGCAATTTAGACTAAGGATAGGGGTTACTTTTAAGTCATTTTCATATAATGCTAAAATGAAGTAATTTAGATAAAGATATTACGGTTACTTTAGGCTTATTTCTTAATTGGTTGTGTGTGTTTTTTTAGAAAACAAAAATAGATCCAATGACTGTTATTATCAATGAGGATTATAATATATCGAATTGATAGACAAATGTTTTATGATTTTTGTGAGAAATTCTTTTTTTTTTGCCTTTTCTAGTGGAGGCAAAAAAAAAAACAGTTTGTACTTGTACCATACCATTTATTTATATTTGTACTAGTGGCAACGATATGATTCATCGTGCCATCGGTGATCCTATTACAGCTAATGAAGCCAAAGCCCATACAGCAAAGTGCGGTACATAGAAGTAAAGGTGCTACGCCCGCACAAGCCACTAGTGAAACATAACTAGGGACGTTGGGTGGACACAAAAAATGTGCGAGTGAGACCGTACCCGGTGGCCTTATTGGCTTATTGCCATGTTTGTCCACATATGATCTTCGGAAAGTTGCTCGTACATACTCCAAGCGTGTTAGCACTGGGATTCTGGGAATTAGTCTGTTATCTCCAGATCGAGCGTATCGAAATGGAGACACGAGATTTCCTTCCACTGCCCGATTAGATTGTGCACTGAACGTCAGAACCAAATTAATTACTCTGCTGGGGCTTTCACCCAGATTACTCGTGGAACATCGATCCATCTCTCACCTAGACATGCACTCCATCTCCATGTCATTCATCATTCGGGGGTGACCATGCAACGCTTCATTTTCGAGTTTTTATGCTTGTTCCTTGTCCCTTCCCGC